ATGGTCACCAGGGGGCGGATGCAGAGCTGGCTGGGCTCGATCGCTGAGCTGTTCAAGTCTCCTTTGGTTTATTGCATCACAATGACACCTGGGCACCTGCAGGATTGCGCTGATGTCAGTGAGAGACGCACTCGCTCCTCCAATCAGATCAAACTCTCCTGCAAAGTGTGGTGGAGCTTGCTTATGACAGCTGTGTGTCAGAAGAGTGCGTTTACACAGGATCTCATTCTCTCTTCCTCAGCTGTCCACACCAAAGACAGAAAGAATTCATCCATCGATTTTCTAACTCCTGATTCTAATCCAAGGCCAAGAGGGATCTGGAGGTTAACCCAGCAAGCAACAGGCACAAGGCTTGATACACCCTGGACAGAACGCCAGTCCATCGCAAAGCAGACAGACACGGACACACACACTGACTCCAGGGTCAATTTTCCCCAAAAGCCAGTTAACCTACCAGCATGTCTCTGGACTGTGGGAGGAAATCGGAGCACCTGGAAAAACCCATGCAAACATGGGGAGAACATGCAAACTCCACACAGACAGCACCCCTTACTCTCTCCTTTTGCCCGGTATTGTGTGGCAGCGATGCTAACTACTGTGCTGCACACAGTGTCTGACGACACAAAAATGTCTTCCGTACAGAGCGATCATGTCAAGTGCTTTATCACACGGGTGAAAGAACTGGAAGCAATGTGTTTGCAGTAGTTAACTTCAGATTCTGTCTCCCAGCAAGTGCTAGTCGAGACAAGATAACAAATGCTGGAGAGAAAGTGCAAGAGAAATTCAAAGAGAAAAGACAGATCAGCAGCAAATGCCAGGAGTTTCCCCTTGTCTTCAATGGCTGAACTTTGTGCCCCACACAAAGAAAACTTCACATTCCCTAAGACAGAACTCATGTCTCATCTGTCTAATTACGGCTTTGTAGTTTAGTGCTGCTTGTGACATTTTCATGTCACGGTGTCACGGTAAAATCAGTCCCTCCCACGTTGAACCCGGCAGCAATATTCCAAAACAATACCCCTTGAAAACTGAGACACACAGTACCAGCTGGGCCAGAGCTGGGGCTGTTTTCTTCTGGCGCTCCCATGAAATTGGAAATTACGTGCATCGTTCTTGCAGCCTCACCAGAGACAAGCCAGAGTCTGTGTGTCCCAGCCTCTTCCCAGGCCCAGGCAGTGCAGTTGTGGTAAAAAAAAAAAAAAAAAACCCTGTGAGACAAGTTTGTGTCGCAGCTCAAGGGGTGACCCGGCCTCTGTTCCAACCTCCTGACCTCCTGTAGATCTCTCTGTCCCGCTTGGATGTTCGTTTGTCTTTGATTGGAAATGCTCCTCATCGGGGATGAAAAGGAAGGCAACCACACTGTGTTAAGTTCCCTTTCAGGGCTCCGTGAGGCATGTCTGCTTAAGGAAGGCCAGGAAACCTGTCTATGTTTGCAATAATAGTGGTTTATACACCTCTTACTCTTTCCATTTGCAAGATCGTATGAGGCAGCATTAAGTCAACATGAAAGCGTAAGGACTTCCACCCCTGTGTTAGAGACACATACATGCCCTTGGACAGGCAAAGACCTCTCACTGGACAGTGAAGCCTGGACTTTGTGTGCCTGGGAATTCACCCCCTGAGGAGAGCCAGGAAAGTAGGAAACAAGGCTGCCAGGAAACGTCACTTTGGAGAACCTGACATGAAAAGTATCTTAGAAACTGAAGTGTATGTTGATGCCGGTCTAACCCCTCTCTTTGGAAACAGAGGGTATCCAACAGAACAATCTTCAGAGTAAACTACAGACCTATCAGTTGTTTACATAAAAAAGGAGGCTTCCAAAAACTAAGAAAAAAAAACAAAACACCACAGAACAACCACGAGGCACAAAAGAACTCAGAAAAAAAAAACCAGAAGAAGAAGCCACCACCACACGACGTCACCACAAAAAAGCGGGAAAAAAAACAAGACAAAAAGCAAGATTTCCAAAACTCTTTGGCCTCTCACTGTCCAAGAACAGGATATGAAATGAACAAGTAAATGAGATGTTTTCCAGTATGAAAGATTGAAATCCTGTGTCTGTACGTTGGTTTACACTTCTGATTAGATTTGGCAGGTTGGTGCTTTCAGTCTCCCTGTAAAAGCAGGAGTGTGTTTGTTCAGTGAAAGGGGTTGGGAAGAGGTGTGTAACGGTGTGTCACAAAGTGCTGCATTCAGTACTAAGGAGTGTGACTCTCCGCAACACCTTTGGGAAAGACTGTGCTACAGGAAAACTCTGCAGACGGTGACAGAACCAACAGCTCTACCCCGCCTGTTAAAACAGCCCTAGAACAGCTCTTCTGGTCTGGGTATAACCAGTCGCTTGCCCAGAACAGCCATGACTGCCAACTGCTGGCACAATGTGCATTGAGCTCTCGAACACAGATTAGCTCTGGCCAGGCAGCAGGAGGCCTCACACAATGAGAATCAACTCAAGGCCAGTGGCATCTCCCTGCCTGTAAACAAGGTTTACTGCGCTGATATATCTGTTTAAAGGCTAAAAGCACAGCAGAAGTATCAAAAAAAGAGTAGCTCAAGCAGAGTGAGGCGTAGAGACGGAGGAGAAAGTTCGATACGAAGCACAGTATAGCCCAGGAAGGGACATACAATCCTGGCAAACGTTGGTGCTGCACAAAAAACAAAGCAGGGGACACGTTACCTTGGGATTTTCCAGAATTCCAGATTCATAGCTGGTGACAAAGAAGAAAAGAGCAAACTTGTTAAAAAAAAAAAAGTTGACACGATCAGAGCACGAATACGGTCTGAAAGCATTACAAAACCGACTCGATGTGA